ATGTACAAATGCAAACTGCCATGTCAAATGACGCTGCGTTAGGTTTGCCACCATGGTATGCAAATATGAGATGGAAAGAGTTTTATACAAACCCTGAAGTGGGATATAAACAACTTATGCAGATGACGCGCAACACAGGAGTTGACCCAGAGTATGTTTTCTACCAGAGGAGAAATAGAATGTATGAGCTCCAGTTAAAAAATGCTATGGAACTCAACAGGAAACGTAAGAGACTAGGCGGACATTAGATTTTTACATATAGTAAAATGGGTTTCTGGAAGAATAGGAAACTTCTTTCGAAATGTTGGAAGAGGTATATGAATGGAATAAAAACCGTAGGAAGAGGAATTTGGAACGGAGTCAAAAATATTGGTAAAAGGGTAGGTCAGTTCGTTGGTATTATACCTAAAGACCCTGAACCAGAAGAACAAGCTCCTGTTATACAACAGCCTGAACCTGCACCACAGTCAGTTGGCAACCAAATCCAACACCTCAACCGTATTAAAAATATATTTTTACCGTTCGATAGTAGTTGTATATGAAACTAAGTTCTAAGTAAAACGCATGGATAATGGAATATTCTTTTTCTTCCATCTGTGTAAACCATACTTGAAAGTCTGAAATACTTCCACTTGGTGGTTCTATATACTTTGTAGGTTTTTCGTAAAAGTCATTTGCCAAGCATAAAAAGAGTTTTGGCCCAGAAATAGAAGCATGAACAATAATAGCATGGGTCGAAAACATTTTATATATAGTTCATTCTTCATATCGACTGTAAATATTTGCTAAAGGAACTTCGACTTCTGATTAACATTCTTTGATAATTACCATGAACATTGCAGTGAATTCTGTATATATTTGTTACGTCTTTCTTTGGATTGTCTTCGTAGATTTGAAATGACACTTGTGAATTTTGTTTTCATATACAATTCTCACATAAAGTGTGCTCTCGGTATTTGCATATTCATCAGCATATTTTTGCATAACATGAATTTATTTATACTTCTATATTTTTTAACGCAAAGTCTGTAGAGAAGATGAAAGTCAACTTGTATTAGCTCAATCTGCTTCCACATTTTTCGTTTCCTTCAGATTATATAATCTATATGAAACCTTACAATAAATGGAAACTTTATCTTCTCGAAAAACTTCATTCTACGAAAGCCAATAGCTTTTGTGACAGATGGTCTCTTAGCCATCTTAATGGGTAGTCAAAACGATAGCCTTCATGCTTTACGGTCTCTGTCTCAAACTTTTGACCGACATTAGTAAAAAGTTCATCTAATGGTTTAGTTGTAGCAACTCTTGAATTTTTCTTTTTCTATTGAAGCATATTTTATCTAGAATAAAAATGTCGAAAGATATGCTTCTATGAGAGAAATACAACACAACCGACAACTCATTTGCAAGCTCTAAATAAAAAACACAACAAACTTTTCAAACTATTTCTAAGATATCTGAGTCATTGAAAGAAGGAAACTTAAAACTGACATAAACCAATGACAGAGAGTTTCTTTTCAAGACAAGAAGAACAATACTGTCTGTATAAATCCACACAAAAGGAACTTTAAACGAGAAAACCTATAAATGAACTTCTTTTGAAAGCAGATGTTGACAACAAAGCTGACAAAGAATATGTAGACGATGCGAATAGCAAAAGAAGAGAAAAGAGCTATACAATGCTTATGCAACAAAAGAACATACTCATCCTGAACTAGCAGACAAAAACATATGTTGCAACAATAAACATGTCAAGTGAAGTGACAAGAGCTGAAACGAATATTCTAAAAAGACTCATACACATTCTATATCTGAAATAACAGACTTAAACGTTAGCCTTGAAAATAAGGTAGATAAGGGACTTATGGCTAGTGTGTTAGTGAAGAAGCGGATAAGAATATGTGGATGAAAAAGATAAAGAAATTATAGAAAGGGTTGACTGGTACCATGAATGGACATCGAAGACTTTTAAAGGTTAAGCCGATACAGGATGGGTTTCAGGATGTTTAGACCTTAAAGCAGATAAAACTTATGTTAACGATGAGTTAGCAGAAGAAAGCAAATAAGAACATACACATACAATTTTACAACTGTTGCTATAGAAATATTGAAGGAACGGTTGAAGAAACTGGTGGGGATGTATTATATTGTAACCTCCTAACTTTCCACAAGGTTTAACATCGGATGAACGACATAACAGACGATGGAGAAACATTTAGATGTAAAAGATGTTTATGTCATGAAGGATAATATAATATTAAATTCACTGCTCAAGATTTATATGACAAGAAAGCAGACAAAAACAGAGCTTCAAACATTAAAGACAGAAATACTTCAAACAGTTATATCCTATAGGCTCTATTATACAGTCAATGAACTCTACCAGACCAGAAGTAGTACTTGGTTTTGGAACTTGGACTCAAATAGTCGACAGGTTTTTGTATTGTGCAAACTCTTCAAAGGAAACAGGTGGAAGTAAACGATTTCAGGTGAAAACTTACCTGCACCAGTCACTACATAGATTTAAGTACATCTCAAGCAGGTTGGCATAAGCATAAATTTTGGATTTGGTCAGCATAAAAATAGGAAACAAAGGGACTGAATTTACATATTAAAACATATGATGTTAAGACGACGTTCAGTTTGCTATAAATTGTTTCTTGGGTGACACTCAGGGAGATGGAAACCATACACATCGCGTTTCGGGATATACGCAAACAACGGGACAAGTAAAGATACATGCCACCTTACATGACAGTTTACGCATGGTATAGAAATGCTTAGTCGTCATTTTCAACTTCTTTAGCATATTGTCAGGAGTTGTCTTATATTTGTTAGGAACTGTCTTTGAAAGTATACCACCTTGAACCTTAACAAGTTTGAAACGAGGTCTGACAATAGTAGTTTTATCTTCTGCTTGCAGTCTGTACATTTTGCCATGTTTGCCTAAAACTTCATAATATTCTCTTGTATACTTCTTCTATTTTTACGAAACACGAATGCGGAGTACCTGTCGGGTTCCCATTGTGTCATAGTCAATAATATTTTCATATGGGTCGCGTTTAGGTATTTCTATTTTTACTTTGTCCCTTTCTGAAGTTTGAAGCCTGGCATTCTTTCTTGTTTGTCTCTTTTGACTAAACTATTAAATATATAGTCTTTCTCTAAGTCGGGTTGTTTTTCATTTCTTCGGGGAATGGTTTCCCAAACCTTTTTGTTTACGGTTATTGTAAATATTTAAAACTTGTCTCATCTTTGCCATGGAGAAGTGTCTATATTTTGTCGTCATATGACATTTCATTTTGCTTCACCACCTTGTGGTTGTTTAAGTCTCTTAAACATTTATCTCTCATTACGAAGAGCATGAACAGGGGTAGAACCTTTATATGTTTTATCTAAACCAATAACTTCAATGAAATTTTGACCTTCTTTTTCAACCAATCGTTTTCTTCTAAACGAAAATAGTTGTTTCCAAGCTGTCAAAGAGAATATGTTTGAAAATCCAATTGGTGCTGAACCACAATTCCTAGGCATTAAAATGTTCAACAAGAAAAAGAGAAGTAAGTAAACACAAATGAAACCACAAGTTATTCCTAATATAACCCAAGAATTCTTCCATCTCAATAAAATTTCCATATTTTTAATTGTAAATGGATAATTAAATACTTTCGAAATCATGATGTTGTCTATGAACATTGTTGAAATCCATTGTGGAAGGAACATCATTATTGATGCATAATGCAAGATATTTGTTGTATCATCAGCCATTGTAAAATTGATGTTTGGTATAACGCTCAAAATCAAAAATATTGCAGTGAAATATATCTTGTATTTTTTGATAATTGCAAATGGAATTGCATTCAAAAAGAAAACGTAATAATAAAGAACTAATGGAATTACGAATAAAAGAATGAGGAAGAAGTTTGATCCTTTGGCCGAATCCAAATATAAAATAATTGTTACTAAAAAAACATTTAAAGCTATCGAAATTGAATCAATTGTCAAATTCGCAAAGAAAATTGTTGTTTCATAAGCTCCTGATATCTTAAGAAGCAATAGTTGCTTTGTCTCTCTAGCCTCTGCCATTTCAAATATTGAAATAATGAATGAAACTGTGATTCCTGCTGCTACAAGCCATTCAATAAATACATAAATGAAATCCGTTCTCTCGAAAGAAGACATTCCTCGCGCATAATAATTGGTCGTAACATTCGATATCATTCTCGCGATCTCTTTTACAAATGTGTCAGTAAATTCATCAAAAGAAGTACCATAGAACCAAGCGTATTTAGTAATATTTAGGTTTGCTGTAATATTGTAGAAATACTTCTCTTTCTTGTCTACTTTGATAGACATTAATTCTTTGTAGATTGAATAGTTGTCAAATTCGCTTTCATTATCAAAAATTATACTATAATTTGAATAATTCGCAAGAAAAGTTGTTAAATCATTTCTTGGATAATAAATCGAGCGGAATCCATAAAAATTTTCAATCCAAGAAAAATTATTAATATCTTGATTATCATACCAGTAATCAAATTCCCTATAGTGACCTTTTTCATCTTTTGTGGTCACTGCATCAGACGCTGTTGGTATTGTTAGACATAATAATATCACTATTATGCCAAAACATGTTGAGAAATAAAATCCAATTCTGTGAAAACGGACATCAAACAATATTTTCAAGTAAGCCTTATAAATAAGGAACTGCGCATTGCTGGTATACAATTCTGGCTTTGCAATAAGCTCGTCTTGAAGAGATGAGTCTCTCATTTAATGGCTAGGTATTCAATTATTAAACATCAATTCTGACATGATCCAAATTTTCAGAAATTTTGAGTTGGAAGTTCACGGTGGAATGATCTGAAATACGATACCGAAAATTAGTTCTTCTTAATCACCTGGTCATTGTTATTAATTTCATCCGAAATGTTTTTTACTTCATCTCAAAAAATAGAGCTTTCAATTTTTTAGATCATTTCAATTAAAACCATTATAGCATGAGCGTGAAATTGTTTAAGAATCAACTCACGGGAATCATGTACAGGAGACTGCTTGTATATTGGAACTCCAAGTTTTCTTTCTTGATCAATTTTATTTTTTCATTATTTGTTGCTGGCCTCTTTGGAATTATTGCAACATTGGTTCATGGGATCGTAAAACCTCGTGGCGCACAAGGATTGGAATTTACCAATTTTGATCCAAATAATTTAACATTTGGAAGAATATCTATTAAAAATTGCACAAAATGCGACGAGATTCAAAACAGATTATCAGAAAAGTTTTCTTATTTCATCAAAAAGAGACTTAATACTGATTTACAATATATTGATTTTGATAATTTTGAAGATTTTAATGATTATCAATACGAGAGGGTATTAGATCCAAGAAAGTTATCTAATATACCATTAGCATTCCAAGTTTATGAAAATTCATCAATAATTAAAGAAAATGGTGTTCCAGAAGGAGAATTAAATCTTAGATTTCTTCACAACTTAACGTATTCTGACACAGCTTTGAAACTGTTTAATAGAGCATTACTTGAAATTTTGTTTGATGAATTGGGAGAAAAAGGAGATGTTGATGTTTCATTAACTGTCCATGATGAAAGACAGTTTGTTTTAGATACTAATATTGAATCAACATATGAATTGATCGTGCCTTATTTCATGCCATTTGCCTTAGTAATAATTGCAGCCAATTTTATGCATAAAACAATTCAAGATATCAAAACACCTGTTCGACCTTACATGATATCATGTGGACTCTCAAGATTTACTTATTGGACAGGAATCGTTATTGTTGATTTAATAATCATGACAATCTTTTCAACTTATGTTTTTGTTATTTATTATTCGATAGGAATATTATCTTTCAAGATGTTTGTAGCCAAAACACTATTCTTTAATTGGTTCTGCTCGATTTTACCTCTCTTCTATACATATTTTTGGTCATTTCTTATCAAAGGAACTGCAGGTGCAATTGTTTTTGTTATTTCAAACTTGTCAATTCTTATGACAATCTTAATTACTTCATTCTCATTTAGAGAAAGTCAATACCCAGCAGTTTATTCAATATTAACATTGATTTGTCCTTTCGGAAACTGGTTTGGAGTTTTTTGGAGGATTTCGAAAACATTTTCGTTGTATTATCCAGATTTACCAAAGAATATTGATTTCTTCAAACAAGGAAAATATGTTTTGAATATAATGTATGCATCTGTGTTTGTTTACCCATTGATCATTTGGCTTGTTGAATTTTTGGTGAAGGTAATCAGTCATAAGATATCAAAAATGTCATTTGAATCACATATCGATGATTTTCGTGCGATAAAAGAAAATCTCCAAATCACTGAAGAATCCATTCAAATGGAAAACAATGTGAGAGATCAACCTAATGATTATGCAATAAGAATATTCAATGTTTCTAAAATATTCAAATATACAAAAGGTCAGCCAATTTGCGCTGTTAATCAAGTGTCATTAGGCATTAAGGACAAATCAATTTTCGGTTTCTTGGGATCAAATGGTGCTGGAAAGACAACATTGATGAAAATGATACTTAAAGAAATTCCTATTTCAAGTGGTACTATCGAGATCAACGGCCAAAATGTTGAGACATCTAAAATTACAAATGTTGCAGTTTGTCCCCAATTTGATGATCATTTGACAGAACAATTAACTGGACGTCAGAACATGAAATTCTTCTGCTATTTGTTTAATAAGAGTGGAAAGGAAGCTAATGAATTGATAAACAGAATAATTGAAGTTATGGATTATTCTCAACATGTCGACAAAAAGATTAAAGATATGTCAGGAGGAAATAGAAGAAAATGTGCAGCATCAATTCCATTCTTATCAGATTATAAAACTATTTTATTAGATGAACCAACATCTTCTTTGGATCCAATTGCAAGACATCATATGCATGAGTTGATCAACCAGTACAAAGGCGAAAGAACTTTCATGTTATGCACACATTTGTTGGATGAAGCGGAAAGCTTGTGTGATAACATTTCAATTATGTCTAGTGGCTGTATATTTACAGTTGGAACACCACAATACTTGTCAAACAAGTTCGGAACTGAATGAAAGATTGATTTGTTGTTAAATTCTGGAGACAAAAAAGAAATTGAAAAAGTTAAGGTATTCATTGCAGTAAATATTCCTTCCGCTATTTTATCAATGGAAAGGAAAGGTTCAATGATATATTCAGTCCCAAGTCAGAGTGTTTCTATCACAGATCTTTTTGAAATCCTTCAGAAAAGAAAAGACAGCGAAATTGGCATCAAATTTTTCACTTGTTCATGTTCAACATTGGAAAAAGTTTTCATGGAAATAGTTATGAGATCAGAAATAAAGGCACAAGAAGAAAAATAAATGAACCAAAATGGCGACAACATCTCGAGCAGTGACTCTCATAAAGAATGATTTAAATATGATACCAGCTTTTATTATTATTAAAATCTCTTGCTGTTGACTAAACTTCTTACTTCATTAATATTTATTTTTGTTTCGAGAAGATTTTTATAATTCTAATTATTTGGTATTTATTGATGAAAAAAGTGAATCAAAGTAATAATTGTTACATCAGAAGGTCTTTAAATTATATAATGTTTTTAGTTAATTTCATATTCAAAAAAAATAATTTAAAAAATACCAGGATAATTGTAGTAAAAAGGATGAAAGAGACATGAGTATTTAATATAACATAAAGATAATCGTAAACTTTTGCCAAATAATTGTAAACAAAAATTAGCAGCATCCGCCAGAATTTGCTTCCCTATTTTTGAGCTGTGTATCAGCTTCTAGCTTCTTTCCGTTCTTGAAAACTTCTGAGGCTGTGGAATAGAAGAGATTTTCGACTCCTTCGCCGGATAAAGCAGAAACCATAAAAATACCAATGAATTGGTCTCCATATTTGTTGTTTACTTCTTCCATTGTATTTACTGCTGATTCTGAAAGATCAATCTTATTTATTGCCAAAATCATTGGCGGGCAAGGATCACATGCATTGCTGACGTTTTCAATCCATTTTGGTATAGCGTCAAATGATACTGAATCATTTATTGCGCAAACAATAATCGCAAGTGACGAATTTCTTGCATAAAGTGGCATAAGAGCTTGAAATTCTTCCTGTCCTGCAGTATCCCAAACAAATAAATCGACAAGACCTTCGGATATTTCAACTCTTTTCCTGGAATGATTGCTGCCAATCGTTGATTTCGTTATTGGTGAAAATTGGTTAGTTACCCATCTGTTGATAATGGATGTCTTTCCTGTTCCGGAGTTTCCGAGTAAAACAACTTTAAAATGGGGGACGTTTCCTGCTTCGGATGACATCTGACACTTTTACTCCCAATGTTTTTCTAGAGGGTGTCCAACCAAAATAACCTTAAAATGAATTTTACCTTTTTGAGTTTTTCTTCATATTCAGAGGAAGTAGAGAAAAGTTTAAACGGTAAATACATGCGAATGCATATCAGCATTATGCTCGAGCTGGATTTGTATATTTTTCTTTTCGTAATTTGAATAAATTCGAAAAATACTGATTTATAAAATTATAATAAGAATTATAATTTACATTAAATATCTGATAAAATAATAAAATAAAAATGATGATTTTTTGAATCAAAAAATTGAACGATGATTTTTTCAAATTATTATATTTATTGTAAATAACGACAACTGAAGGTGAGATATTGAATATTCATGATTGGGAATAAATGTTCAATTTTGAGATTGAGTTGAGATATCATATTAAAAATTGATTTAAAAGGTTAACATATAGCTTAATGATATGTAATATATACATATTATGAGATATGCATATTTAAAAGGGGTATGATCGTTGAAAATGGTATGATTCCTAATTTAATCGGTAGGAAAATATTATGAAATTAAATAATTAAAAGAATTTCAAATAACTTCTATGTGTGGTATTAAAAGTATCAATATATACCAAATATAGTAATTAAGGTTTAAAGAAAACAGGGGACACAATTAAACATCTTATATTAATAATAAATTGAGAGCATGTCAATATCTCATAGTTCAATTGGTTTTCTGGTAAAAATTGATCGGTAAAGGTTGCAAGTTTGATTGTGATCAGCGTTTTTTTTTATTTTGAACGATAATAAGATTGTGAATAATAGATAATAGCAACCAAAACATAGTTCGAAAATTTACCTAAAATGATAGAGTATGGTAGGAAGTACATACCCAGGTATCTAAAATATCACCTAAAAGCGCTCTTAATTTATGCCAATTGGCATAATAAAGCTACAATTAGAATGCTGACATGATGAAGAATCATTATGAATCATAATTGGCCAGTATGATACAAGATTTAAGAAATCTTAGAGATTATCTGATTTCATGAAACACAGTGATTACTAAGTTTCAGACTTTGAAATTTTAACATGTTGATATGGGTACATAGGATTTATGATTCCAGTCATTTATTTAAAAAATTAGGAATAAGAATTAATATGATGTGAGTAACATTGGTAATAAATGCTTAATTACTAATATTTATTTCTTGGTAGAAATTAAATGTTTTGGTGGCATTTATAGAAGTTAAGCTGAGAATCAAAAATGCAAAATTTAATTTATTTTCGTGTATCTATATGGGTACACTAAGTTATTGATGTATATATGAAAGAATCATGAAAATGAATTGTGAATCTCAATATTAGTTGTGTAATGCTGCGTCATATTTTGAATTCAAAATATCCATAATGTTGATAAATGTATTTTAAGATAATACATAAAATTAAGCTTGAAAAAAGATATCGAAATGTAATTTTCAATAGATTCAAAGTTTGGCATATATTTTGATTTTAACTATTGATATATTTATCGAACATCTATAGTAATAGAATGCAGAACTAACTAAATATAATCAATAAAAAAATATGAGTTGAAAGTAGTATATATGGATGGGTTTAGTGACTTTTTTTGTTACATCTATATATAGACGATGCATTAAAATATATTTATTTATAAACACATTAATTTTTAACATTAATTTTAAAATAATTTATTTTTTTATTCTTACATAAATGACCCAACAAGTAAAACCAGATAAAGTGGATAATAGAATTTTAGAGGATGGTGTTCCTGTTTACATTCAAAGATTTAAAGGAAAACAATATTACAGAATGATAAATCCTGAATATGTGAAACATTTATTTAAAAAGGAAGATTGTGAATTATTAAACGTTAATGATTATGAAAATGCAAAATCAAAACTGAGATATAAATATATTGGAAGTGATGAAAGGTGTAAAGATAAAGATAAAGTTTATACAGTTTCATATAATGAATGGAAAACCGATAAGATTAGAAAACATTTAGGAGATTATGGGGAAAAATCTGAATTCTTTAAATCTAGTATATACGAGAGAGTAAAAGAAATTAGATATAATTATCATTCATGAATGAAAAATAAACACATTAAAAAATTAACATTAATTTTAAAATAATTTATTTTTTATCTTTTATAAAATAATCTATATATAGATGATGTCAGATATTCCGCGATTAATTAAACATTGTTTAAATCCTGAATGGGTTAAACTTCAATTTAAAAATGAAGATTGTGAATTATTAAATGAATATGAAAGCCAAAATAAGCTAATGAGGTATAAATATAATGATAAAGAATATTTAATTTCATGGAATCAATGGAGTCATAATCAAAGACCTCATAAACGAGAAGAAGAAATTGAAAATAATGAAATGGAAATCATTGATGACATTAAAGAGGATGGAATTCCTAAATTTTGTAGAAAAACCTTTAGAACTAAGTTAGGAGCATATAAACGTAGAGTATTAAATCCTGAATATCTTAAACATCAATTTAAAAAGGAAGATTGTGAATTATTAAACGTTAATGATTATGAAAATGCAAAATCAAAACTGAGATATAAATATATTGGAAGTGATGAAAGGTGTAAAGATAAAGATAAAGTTTATACAGTTTCATATAATAACTGGCACACGTTAGGGATAAGAAAACATTTAGGAGATTATGGTAAAAGTTCTGAATTCTTCAAATCTAGTATGTACGAGAGAGTAAAAGAAATCAGATATAATTATCATTCATGAATGAAAAATAAACTTTAAAAATTCATGTCTTACATTTATGAATAATTTATTTTTATTTTGTATGAAACCAATTTTAAAAATTCATGTCTTACATTTTTTGAATAATTTATTTTTTTAATTCGTATGAAAATGAGAGGATCAAGATTCGTAACCGTCAATCAATTAATGGATGCTCTTTCACCAATTCTTGAAAATGTTAAACAAGTAGATGTTTATTTCGATGATTATGTAGAAAGTTTATATTATAAAGGTAAGTTTAATATTAAACCTATTGCTTTTGCATTTGATAATAAATTAATTGAAAATGCAAAAATTTGGGAATTAATTCCAGATATTGAATATATAACAAATATTAATGATAAATGGTTTAAACGAATTCCAACCACAAAAGTTCTTTGTAAATTAATGATCAAACTGAGGAAAAAGAATTTAACGGGTTTAAAATATCATCCAAATAAAGTTTCAACTAGAAAATGAAAAACTTCAGAAAAAATTAAACGATAGACTTTCAAATGATCGTATTGAAAAAATAAATAAACTAGCAGAAGTTGCATTTAATAATGAAATATTTGATGAATATAACCTTGAACTCAGTGATGGACTTTAAGTCCTGGGCACTTTGTGCCTTGGGTTTTAAGGACCCAGGCTCAACGAGTCATGATTTATGAAATCAATAATTTGATTCATTCGCTCTTCAATAATTTCTATTCTTTTTGTTAAATCATCTATTTTCATTAATGAGGTGATTCTTGATTGAGGAATAGATTTCAAACTAACCACTCCTTTTATTTTTGAAATTTTGAATCCATGACCCTCCGGGTCTTGGACTCTGTCCTCAACTTTAAACATTTTATTCAATTTACACGTTGTCAATTCTTCAAATAATTTTTTATTATTAGCATAATAATCATTAAATTCTTCAACAGATGAAAAAATTTTTATTTCAGTAATTGGTTTAACAACGTTTATTTTTTGTTGAACATTTTCACTTTCATTTATTTCTTCCTCCTCTGTTTCATTTATTTTTAAAATCGGTTTCATTTATCATTAAATAAAAAATTAGAATATAAGTGATGAAATATATTTTTTAATTAATATTAAATCAGAAATGGCGGCAGGATTCTTTAAAAAATTATGGGATGGAATTAAGAAAGCTGCAGGTTGGGTTTATAAAAAGGTTATTAAACCTGTTGCAAACTTTTTGGCACCAGTAGCGAAAACGGCAGGAACTATCATAGGTGGAGTATTAGGTACTAAAGCAGGTAATCCGGCGATGGGAGCACAAGCAGGTAACGCAATTGGTGGAATAGCTGAAGGAATACTTAATAAAATAGGAGGTGGTTAGTGGAAAAATAAATAAATATTATTTTTATCTCAATATCGGTTGTAGTCGACGATAAACCTTATCTCCTTTATTTAATACTTCCCTTACCGGAACATTAGGTGCTATTTGTTCAGCAACGTCACTAATTGCTTCTTTATTCTTAAATATCCAATTTGCTCCTTTCTTCATTGTTTCCCAAACTTTATGCGCTCCTCTTTTTACTTTATCCCACAGTTTCTTAAAGAATCCTGCAGCCATAGTTGATTATTTCATTAAAATTAAAAATTCATTTTCATCTTTTAATTTTGATTTTTTATTTATTAATAAATGACGACTAACTATTTAGTGCCAAAACAAAACCGATTAATGGAAATGTTTTCATTCATTCGAAAAGATAAATGAAATATTCGCAAAGAATGATGGTAGAAGATATTATAGAGAACTTGAAAGTTCATGCTATGAACCTTGATGCTCCATATTTTGATGATAAACAAACTCATTTAAGAATTACAAATCCGGCTCATGATGTGAACCAATTAGGTGACACATATATTAAACGCAAAGTTAAAGCAACTCTAGTTTCAAATAAAGCTTTCACATGTGATGCCGCTTTTAAATGCATGGCGTTTATTCGTTGGTTATAAATCATCAAATCAAAGCTTTAAGCAATTAGAAGTAGAAACCGAAAGAGGTGATGCCGGTTATCTTCAGATGGATTGTGCCCGTGAATTCTTCGCATTTGCAACATATAAACCAAAATCAGAAAGGAAAGTTAAAAAGTTTGTTCATTCGTTATATAATAATGTTCAAAAATATGATAACTCAGTATGTGGTAAATATATTGACCTTCAGAAGTTTCAAGAAAGCAAATGAAGAAGTTGATGTCACTTTTGATATGATTATTCCG